ATATATATATATATATATAAACTAATTCTTAATTCAAATCTAATGAATGTGATCAGTTACATTGTAAATTGAATTGTATTTATATATAATTCACTGTATTCAGTGTAAATGAACCCATCACATCCCATTAGATATTAATGACCTATCACGTTACCCATCATGTTTTCCAGCTGTATCCTAACCTAACACGTGTTTGTGTGTGTACTTTTGCTCCTCACCAGGATCTGATCCACTTTGGACTGGACGCCCTTCCTGGAAGTGAGGAAACAGAGCAGGTTGAGGGTGTGAAGACGGCTGTCATCACTTCACTGAGATTACCTGAAGATCGTAAACACCAGGATGGACTTACGAGATGTTGCTCTTCAACTTCTGCAGCAGCATGCTGGGCTCATTGTCGCCCTCTGCTGCTTCCACGCTACCCTCCCCACTTGAGGTGACTTCGGCCCGCTGGTGCCGCTGGTCCTCCGACATCTGTACGCGCTAACCTGTGCCAAGCAGAACCATCTGAGAGAGAAACAAAAAGCTGTTCAGAACTCAGTCTCACATTCACAACAACATTTAATGTCAGGATAAAAATGGGTTTTTAGTTCTGTTTAGCTCAGATTTTATTTTTCTAAGTAATGTTATGGAGTTGCCAGGAAAGAGGAGCTAGCTGGTGTAAAAGGAGGAGGAGATGCAGCCTGAGGTTAAAGGATATTTTTGTTTCATTTACACCGTAGTCTTGGTCATATTCGTCTCATAAATGTTCAATTTTATTCCTGTAAGTCTTGGTCATATTCGTCTCATAAATGTACAATTTTATTCCTGTAAATTGTTTTTTTTTTTTCACAATTTAGAAATTTCATTCTTTGCCATTTTTCTTTTTCATCCATGATCATGGAACTTATTTCTCTCATTACAACTTTTTTCCCCACGTATTTACAGCCTTGCTTTATGTAATCCTAAACTGAATATATATGTATCCTTAGATATTACAGACATATTAACTTTTTTTATCATAATTTAACCAACGTACTCTCAACAATTTACAACTTTATTTTCATTAATGTAAACTTTGTTCTCGTAATATTAATCGCCCAGATGTGCTATATTATACATAACGAATATTTTTAATTATTTTAATATTTCAACTTTTCTTTTCATAGTAGTATTTCCTTTTTCTTAGAAATTTACAATCTTAGTCTCATAAATATCCAACTTTTCTTATGATGACATTTATGTTATTTCAGATGTGACATTCTTTCTTCTAAACTGACGGTTTTGTTCTTCTTCTCGTGTTGTCAACACTTTAATCTTATAAATGTATGACGTTAAACTAGTTCAATTACGGCTGAACCTCAGAAACTGACAACTGTCCCCGGTGTGTTCTCCTGAGCTTTTAGATATTTATATGAAACAATCCTGTTCCAGCTCAACTCCACTTATGGACTGGGAATAAAGCACCCACAGCTACATGTTCTCCAGAAAATACAAACAAAACACGCAGACTGTCTTCACTACTCGACTCCAATAAATGAAAATAACAGGCGTCAGAAAATGGTGATAACGTCGCCTATTGTTCCGTTTCCTGTCTTTGAATCGTTTCTCCGGTAGCGGGGAGCGCGTGTGTGCGAACACACACGCACAGGCACACGCACACTCGGCCGGCAACTGTTCGACTTGTGGCCGCTAACCTTGGCGGTAGATACAGACGTGTCCGCGGCTGGGACGCAGTGTGAAGTCGCCCCTGCTCCCCGAGCCGGACATGCTAACGGCTAACTGGCTAATTAACGGGAGCCGCGGCGGTTACTGAGTCACCGGGTCTTGTCAGCAGGTTTCACACAGAGTCCGTAGACAGCGCTTTTAAAAAACAGCACAGACGCGAATAAAGCTTCGTAGGAAAAGTTACAGCAATCGACAATGACATTAACCGCCATTTTAAACGCTAACCACTGGCTAACAGGCTAGGAGCTGAGTGACAGCAGCAGCATGGATGCAAACAGCCGTTTAACTTGCTTCAGTACGTTAATTTCAGTTAATGAGTAATTTACACTGACGGTGAATTTATTGTCTTATTGACATCTGAAGTGTTCGCTAAGACCAGTGAGAGAAATTATTTTAAAATGAAAAAGAAAGTACCTGAGCCAAGATACAGCAAAAATCCCCTCCAGATTTTTTTGTGATTGGACAACTTGCTTATGTCTGCCTAACTACAAAGCAGACGCCTATTCTGATTGGTCCACTTTCGTAGATCTACCCGGTGACCAGAAGCGGCTCGAAACCAATTGGTCGAGCAGAATTATTTTTATGACAGAATTTTTTCTGATTGGGCACATTTTTCTGGTCTGCCCAGTTACAAAACAGATGGCTTTATCTTGTGGAATCTGCCTAGTAACAGACGTTAGGCGACACAAATTAAACACGATTTATTTATTACGCGTTTTTATATAAATATTTTTTATATATAAAATAAGACAGTCCTAAATTAATAAACTGTGACTTATACTGTGCCCACTTACGGAGATACATTTTATTTACACTAAAACATCCTAAACTGTAATGTAGTTCTTTTAATGGTTTACTTAAAAAGAATCAATCTTATTCTTGGGAATACTTAAATTGCCTGGAAAAGTTTATGGGAAATATAAACTGAGATACTTGTGAAATCATGCAATTATGCAATGCTGGTATTTTCCAGAAGGACACTGGATCATTGAACCACCCCCAGCAGACTGTGGAAACTCCGCTCAGATACCTTACTGACACACTCCACATTGAGACATTTAGGAAAAACCAAATCCCAATCACTTTTATTGTCTTAGGACATTTATTTGCCATTTTACAAAAGAGTAAAGTTTACAGATGAAAAAAATAAACAGAAAGAAGAGTCGGTGGGAAGGGTTGCAGCTAATCTTGATCAGATACTGCCCATCTTTATTCAAAGCCACTAGAAAGAAAAAGGGTGAGAAAACATTGAAATAAAAAGATTTAAGAAAAGTAGACTCACAGATTCATTTTGTCATGTGGGTGTTACACTTGGGTCACTAATGAAAATTTAATTTACTTGGAAAAAGGTAATAATGAAAAATATTACAAATGAAAACAAAACAGGGGTGGGTGTAAACGACACCTCAACTCTTACCTGACCATGTGAGCAATGTCCCAGTTGGTTTCAGAAGACAGAGGACCAAGGATTTCCACACCATTTTCGGTTACTATGCCGATCTCATACTAGAAAAAAAAAAAAAACACATCACACATCACTCCTAAGAAAGCACACAAATTATATTTTGCATTCACAGACACCTCGTGGTTGTAGCATGGGTAAAACAAATGTGCCATATAATCAAACCATGGTCACTTTAATCTGCTGCACTACCACCACCACTGGTACAGTACCAGAAACTACAGGGTTCTTGCCAACAATGGCCAAACCAAGTCATCAACCCTGATCCCGTCCTGCTGGGAAGTTTGGGGCAAATCTGAGGTCCAAAATCCTTCCTGCGTTAAACTCACTCTGTTGTAGGATCGAGCGTCTCTGTAGTACAGCACTTTGAGGCACCGCTCCACCAGCTCCCGCGCCTCCTGCTGGCTGATGTCTGTTTTGTTCTCTACCACCTCCCTCATTAGCGGCTGCACAAAAACAGACAAACACACACATGCGTTTAGGGCACGATGTTGACAAGTCACGACACCAACTTTGCTTCAGCACGAGTCACTCACCTGAGCCAGATACGCTCCGAAGCCTGTGGCCACCGTGGGAGCCTCGTAGGCCACGCCCAGTTTGTCAACATAACCAAGGAAACTATGGAAAACAAATATGTTTGCCATATTTAACAATGACCACAAAAAAAGAGCAGAGTTGTACTTTTAGGCCTGAAAAGATATGTGAAACCGAAGGTTTTGGTTTGGAAAATTGCCACATGGTTGGTTTTTTTTTTTTTTTTTTTTGGAGAAAAAGTCATAAAAGTCAACCATAAACATTCAAGAACAAATCTGCAGACACAGTCAGACGTATGGTGGTTCCTGGCTCAGACCTCTCGCCATTGTAGAAGCCTCCGATGACGACAGTGTTCCACAGAGGGTTCATTTTGCTGCGCCGGTTGTACATCACTCTGGTCAACCAGGAATGAACCGCCTTTGGACTGTAGCTGTGACCGTCGCCCAGCAACTCCTCGTCAATCCTAAGAGGGCAGAGTTACAGAGAGGTGACATGTGTTGTTAGAGCAACAGTCAGCGCGTTTTAGTGTTCAGATTATACTGCATTTGTTACTGTTAACTGTGACCTCTGACTGTGAAAGCAACAAAACAGATCAGATCAGATCATGAGTCAGAGTGGTTCTGACTCTGACCAGCCTCTGCTCCACACTCGTCTTCCATGTGTTTTGACCCAGATTAAAAAAAAAAAACCACACAACTTTAGCATTCGGACTACATCTAAGATAAACAGCTCATTTTGATTGTCATCTGTGCACCGCTGTGCTAGAATACTACAGGTGTAAAAAAAAAAAAAAGAAAAGAAAAAGTTGTCCAATTTAACAAACAGCAGCAGCAGTAACTTACACCATCTGCTCAATGACATGCTTCAGGTGCTGGTAGTCGGCGTAGTCCCCTGATGCTCCAAGGATGGTACTGTTGTTCACCTGAAACACAGACACAGTTCAGTCAGGTGGTCTGATGATCTCTTCATCTTCAAACAGCAGCAGCGTCAGCAGCATCGAGCATTACCTTCATAAGACGGGAGATGTTCCTGAACCGAGCCAGAGAGCCATATGAACCCAACATGTCTGCCGCAATCAAGACACCACCATTAAACTTGACACCTAGAACCGACGTCCCGGTCACCATTGGGTTCCTGTTTTGTCCATATCAAACATTAGAGGTTAATACTTTCTTTGTTTGACAATGATATGATATTCTAAGCATAACTTTATCTGTTTCAGATCTGTCTTCTGAGTTCACAGCTGATCAAGACAGCCTGTAATTCGTTAAAATAGAAATGCAGCAAAAACAAAATGAAACTGAAAGAACATGTTAGCGTTAGCATCAGACTGAATTCCTCATCATCTAAGCGACATAAACACAGGACGTTATTCCTTTCTGCCTCCAAAAGCTCAATGAAACCCTAACTATAAACCCATATTTATTTTATTTGTGCTGTGTGGCTCATGGACCGGCTACATCACCGTATATTATAGGCTAAATGAACACATGAGAAAATTTGTAAACGGAAACAACTTTATAACTAAGCATGTTTGTGTTTTCCTTAATCAATGAATTCATTAATAACGAAGCGAGAGAAATAAATAAATTAAAAAAAACATAGTTAGCAGTTAGCTGCCCATGTCTCCGGGATGAGACAGCACTTAACGGCCTGACACGAAACACTTTTCCCAGAAAACAATTGCGATAGAGCCGCCGCCGTCAGGCCTACTCACAGTGTGTGTCTAACTGGACCACATGTCGAGCCCAGACCGCTGCTGCTGCCGGACAGAGTGTAAAATTGTCCGGGTTTTGGTCCATTCTCCCACAGGCTTAGCTTCATACCGTTCTCCATCTTTGTTTCTAGCGGAAGTGACGCGACGCTGCCTTTTCATGACAACAGGAAGTGATGCAAAGCAACGGCTTAAAAAAGTTCATTTGAATGTTTTGTTTTTTGTTTTATTATTTACTTTTTTTTTACTAGTTTTTCTGTTTATGACTTTTTACTTCTGTTCCCAACTATGATGCAGTGGTTCTCAAACCAAGGTACATGTATGCTTCAGAGTACAGACGATTAAAAATACAAAATATTAGTTAAAGAAGACAAACGTATTTTAATATTTAGTTGGCTATCCTATTAAGATTTTTTTACATTCCAGCACAGTGATGCCTGTGGATGCTGTAGATATGAATAAGAAGGAAATCCCAAACTGATGTTATAAAGTAGTCTGGTGAATTAATCCCAAACTGATGTTATAAAGTAGTCGTATGGTGAATCTTATCTATGTTAACTTAAGTCAATGAAGAGTCAATCAAATTGTTTATATTTGAATGTTCACTTCAGGGCAGTATTCAGTTGATTATCTCTGTCTGTCCTAATCTCAAGAATTTTAGATTTTAAATTCAAATAATAAACAGTGGCAGTTTGCATCAAGATGTTCTGATTCTTAATCAAGCCAAAGTTTATTTTACTATGAAATGGCGTAATTATTTTCATGATGCCCCCCAGATTTTTGGAAAAGAATCTGTAGAAGTTTTAGAGACCACAATCTCAACTTGATAATTATTCAAACCTTTATTATTCAAGGCGGGATAGTTGTTCAGGCCTCAACCTTGGTCTACAGTGAATGTAGATCAGTAACTCTGAGGACGGTCAGAGATCCGAGGACAACAACACAGCTGATATCCATCAAGCTTTTATTGACAATAATCATTAGAAGCGTTAGCTAACATGGCTGCACGTCTCTTCAGAACTCCACTTTGATAGTTTCATCCTCAGAGCAGAAACCTGTGACAGAAACACAGCATTAGACAACAGGCTTACGCTTCAACCAAAAAGCAGGTCAAATAGGTACGCTGTGACCTGTACCGTTCTTTGGGTCGTACTGGAACACAGGTTCTCCTTGAAACCCGAGGCAGCTCGCCTGCTGCTTAAATTGCTTCAGGTCCGAGTCCTTCACTGTCGTGTGGTGACCTAAACCAGAAAAAAAAAAGTCAAACTAAACTAAACTAAACCAAATTAAACTAAACTAAACTAAACTAAACTAAACTAAACTAAACTAAACTAAACTAAACTAAACTAAACTAAACCCTTCAGTTCATTTCTGTGGATTCACAGCATTTTCTCCTTACTCATTAGATAGAGCGAGCGGATAACGCCCTCTGGTGGTGAGCCAAGGACATCCAAGTTCAGAAATTGGAGTAGGCCATCAATGTCTCCTGAAAAAGTACTATTGCAACTGAATACCATGACATCTTCACTGCCCGGCAGGACGTGGAAGGATGTGGTGATGTTAGCATCTGAGGAGGGAACGACAACACTGTTATCATCCTTATCGTAACCACCGGAACATCATCATCATCATCATCGTCTTCGTCACTTACACTCTGCCAACACCTTGTCTTCGACCAATTTCATTGTGCTCTTTGCACTGAAACATTTTCCGTTTCTGAAAAAGAGAGTGACTGTCAGCTGTGGTTGTTGACCGGTGTTGTACGTCGATGTTCACTTCCTGGACGATCAACGGTACGTTGTGACACTCTAACTGAACGACTAGTCATGTTCACTATAGCTAACCATTTTTAAAACTGGACTTTGGTTCAGGAGAGAGACCGCGTTGAAGACCTAATCACATGACTCACATCTTGTTCACCTCACTCATCGCCAGTGCCTCCACACCGTCCAACGTCCCAGCAGTGTTGTTGATCCAGGAGCTCTCCATGGAGGACATGATTTTGTCATACACTCCTTCAGCGAAAACAGTGATGATGTTAAACCTGCCATAAAACTGGAACAAGAGAGACGAGAGCACGAGGACATGAGGACAAGAGACACGAGGGGACAGGAGGACATGAGACACGAAGGACTGACATGGACCTCACCTTGGCAATATTCTTCAGGGACACAGGTTGGAGCAGTGTTTCACATTCGTCCTGAGTTGGTGCCGAACTGCAAAGAATCAACCCAGCCAGCAGGAAGTGAGCCCGGAGCCACAGATTCATGATGTTGATGATGACACTTCCTGTCTGTCTCAAATAAAATGATGACCGACTGAGCCGGAGGTACACGTTTTACACCTTTTATACACTTGGACCAGACGAGGGACACGCCCCCAGTGTTGTAACAGCTCATAGTACTGTTTACTTTAAACTGGGCTCCGCCCCCTGGACAGACCCTGTCCACTGACAGACCCTGTCCACTGACAGACCCTGTCCACTGACAGACCCAGTCCACTGACAGACCCTCAGGTCTAAGTTAACACTGTGGAGATGACAGGTTTAAGAACACGGAACAAAGACCAGGGATGAAACTGGAGAAACAGCAGGAGATTCAGGGTTTACTGCAGGACGTGACGTGACGTGACGTGACGTGACGTGACCTTCGGACTGAAGAAGTTAGGGGTGAGACCTGGAGCAGCAGGTGGTCAGTTGATGTCTTTGTTCATGGGTTTTGGATCAGCATCATTCAGAACCTGTGGCAGAGGTTCCTCCCACAGATCACAGAACACTCTGTGAAAAAAACAAGAACAGAAACTTTGGTCTGTTTGTTTAATTGACCCAGAGGTTTCATCACAATTCAACCTTTAAACCTTTTTTTTAGTGTAGTTTATTTAAAAGGTGACAGTGCAGTTTCAAAAAACACATGATTACACATGGTTAAAAAGAGCTAGAGTTAGCCAGAAGGCTAGTTTAGTGAGCCCAGCATAAATGAGTACACCCCCCCAGACCAGTGGGGTGTATTCATTTATATAAAATTCCCAAATTCATCTAAGCCCAAAATGAGAACACCTCATTTAACGACAACAACAACAAAAGACTACACAACTCTAATTAACAAGAATTCAACTTATATATATATATATATATATATATAAGTTGAATTCTTGTTAATTAGAGTTGTGTAGTCTTTTGTTGTTGTTGTCGTTAAATGAGGTGTTCTCATTTTGGGCTTAGATGAATTTGGGAATTTTATATAAATGAATACACCCCACTGGTCTGGGGGGGTGTACTCATTACTGCTGGGCTCACTATATACATATATATGTGTGTGTGTGTGTGTATATATATATTTAATAAACAGAAGGTCATAAACGCACGGATTTATTATAAACATGTACAAAGAATATGTATATAAAACATATAAAACAAACATACCAAAGGCAGTGCCGTCGCGGAGCCACTAGAGGGAAGACTTTTACTTTCTACCATCATTTTGAAGGAGGCGGAGTTCACCTCCTGTGATTGGCTTTCTGTGTAAATCATGCAAATTAAAGGGGCGTGGTCATATGCGCTGTTTCATTGTGTCGCTAAGACGCGGAGAGGATGCTCGACTCCCCGCCCGTCCATCCCCGTGCCCCCGCCTGTCTGTCCTCATGTCTCCGGCTCCTCTCTCTGGATTTTACTGCAGAATTTTTTTTGTGTTCGGTTCCGGATGTTCTTATGGTGAAGGTGAAAACCGATGGGGTCGATGTGGATTGTTGATGTGACCGAGCAACGAGACTGAGACAACGGCCTGTCCTGTGTCCTCCCCCCGGAGACTGTGCTGCGAGTCCCGGCCTGTCCTGTGTCCTCCCCCCGGAGACTGTGGACGTAGACACACGCTAAGGTGTCGTTAATTACAGTATTACTAAAAGAAAAAGCCTTGTTTACTTTTTATTGAACATGTGAAAATATCAGAACTGGAAATGGTTGTTATTATTACAATGTCTGTTAAATCATAATAACGACTCATATGGAGAAACAACAGAAACATTTTTCTGAGGTTTTTCTCTTTTGCTTCTCCGGCCACAAACGTCTCTACTGTAGTGACATGCAATCAGCCATTAGCAGTTACCTTTTAGCAGCCAGGGGAACCAGGCAGTGTTAGCACTGTGTTGACGACAGCAGATAATTATCATCCAGCGTTTACGCTCACTTCTCCGTGGTAATCCTTGAAAAACTGACTGTTTACATCGGGCTCTGAGCTATTTGTTAGCAATTATCAGTTTACAACAACCTCCTTAGCAATTACCCTTTGTATAGCAACAGTATTATATAATATTGTGATGGAGGGAACGTCTTAAATCTAAGCAGTTGTAGATTAGCTATCAGACCAGTATAAATTAGCTGTAAAAAGCTAAATAAACCCACTGTGTGTTGCTACACAGGTAATAGCAGTGTCATTAACTCCTAGCAGTTAGCTGCAGGAATTTAGCTGTCAGTAGGAATTCACTGTGGACAGCTAGCTTAGCTAGCTTAGTTATTTGCAGTAAAATTGTAGACTAACCTAACTTTAATAATTAATAATAATTATGTCGTATTATCCCTTTACGCAGGAAGTGTTAAATTAGCTTCAAGCAGCGCCGGCTCAGAGGTTAGTAACTAAGAGTTAACTGATTTGTAACTGTTAGTCATATTTTTAGCTACCCGGCGAGCTGAACAGAGTTAGTCGTAAACTCTGAGCCTTTATTTTAGCACCTAGCAGTTCTGTTAGCATTTACGTTACACTACCAACATGACATTAGCTCTTATTTGCTAGTTCTAGGTCAGCGGGGTCCAACTATTAAAATGCAAGGGTTCGATTAAGAAGGCAGCAGAGTAAGCACAAACCTGTGACAGCGCCACCATGTGGAGCCATCTTGAACATAAACACGTTCATAACAGAAATGGCGGCACAGGGGGGCGCTACAATAGAAGCTTGTAATTCCTGAGTGAGGAATTCCAACCTCCAAGTAGAGCTGGTTGTTAGTAGCTAACAGCCACTAAACACACGCTGGGATTAGCGAGTTAATCCCTGTTAATCAGCAGCAGCACTTGCACCTGTTTTTACTGCACTGACACACAGACGTTTGTTCATGGATCGATCAGTAAAAATGTTACATCTCTGTTTGTGAACAAATGTTTGAAAAAAAGAAGTCAGCTTTTTTTAAAAAAATATATATAATTAAAAAGTACTTAAGTTTCAGATAAGTGGTAAAAAAAAAGTAGGAATCTTAAAACATGAATTTGTATTTCAGTAACACAACCTGACCACAGGGGGCAGCAGTGGGATTGCAGCGCCTGAGTCCCCGTGAGCGAAAATGATTTTCTCTATGCTGTACTTTACTGTACAGGCCTGAGTGTGGAGGTCAAAGGTCAAGGTCACGGTGGCCTCCCAATAAAATGTGACATTTTGTCCAATAGTGAGAGTGAATAAACGTTAGCACGCGTTAGCATGCGTTAGCATGCGTTAGCATGCGTTAGCAGTCCTTGTGAGAAGAGCAGGGGTGGCAGCGTCTGTCAGTCGTGTGAGTGTCACCGTGTCTGACTGTACAGGCGTCAGGCTGCAGCCGAGGAGTGTACCAGCCACCCAGGCGTGAACAACAGCGCCTCCATGCTGTAGTGACAGCGTCACTGCAGGATGAAGCAGGTGTAAACAGATTACAGGGCAGAAAAAACTCATTTGTGACAAAAGTGAGAAAAACAAAAACCATTTATGAGAAAAGTGTGATAAAAACTGACAGCAAAAAAAAAAGTCTGATATAAGTATAAAAAAATGAAATAAAAAATGTAATCTAACAAAAACAGTTAAAAACAGAGTTTTTGTAAAAACATAATTATGAAAGAGTTGTAAAACAAATGTCAGTGCTAAAATCAGAGAACTGAGGAAAAAGATTTCCTGCAGGGGGCGACAAAGACAAAATATGAGGATGAGAAATCATGTAGGTCAACATTGAACAGGCTTTTTTTTCTAAGGCTTTAAAAGGCTGAAGGTTTTAATCCCCTGTGTGTGTGTGTGTGTGTGTGTGTGTGTGTCTTTTGTTTTTAATCCGATAAGAATTGAACTCTACAACCATCTGACCCTGTGTGTGTGTGTGTGTGTGTGTGTGTGCTCAGCGTCACTGACAGACTAGTTAAGAAGCGGTTTAATGAAGCCAACGGAGGACAACTCACCGAACAATAAGTAGCTAACAGGTGAAGCTGAAGATATAGCGGAGTGAACTATCCACCAAGAACAAGTAGTCTAACGATTGTCTAAATGTTAGCACAGAGCTAGCCGTTGTTAGGAAGTGGTCACATAAACAGATTCAAGTTTTCCAAGTTAGCTAAATATGAGAACCTAAAAGTTAGCCAGGAACACAGTTAGCCCGAAACTAAGTTAGAAAGTTAAAGGGAGTCATGCTAAATAAAGTTAAAGGTTAGCATAAGGACAAAAAAAAGTCAGAGCCAAAGTTAGCCCAGAAACAGCTAAAATGTTCGGACGCTTACGCTCTCTCTGTGACATCACAGCTGACCCCGCCATGACCTGCAGACATCATCCCTGACATCATCGCTCCTCATTCACTCTTGACATCATGACTCCTGCTGGTCAACCGTTGCCATGGCAACGTCCTTGGCATTCCCTGGTGCCGTGTCTCGTGGTGACCGCGGTACATTTCCTGACCGGGTCCTTGGCCACGCCCTTCCCGCCAGACATGCGGCCAATCAGAGTGGTCACTTCAAAGGGTGAGTGGTGATGTCATCACCTGTGTTTCTTCGGGATTCCAGCACAGACTGAGCGTGTGTGTGTGTGTGTGTGTTCACAGACACCAATCAGCTGCCAGGCTTTTCTGGTCTCCATGACAACGACACACAGCGTCTGGGTCTGGACTTCCAGAGGATGAGACGAATCAACAATTTCCTGTTTATCTCTGCCAGGTACAAACCTCCAAGGCTCTCATTGGACGATGTGGCTATGACTGTAGGATGACATCATCAGCACCGTCAGTTCTAATTGGCTCATCTTTTTTTCAGAGATCATGTGTTTGCTGTGAACCTGACGACGGCAGCCGACAAGTTCGTCCCTCACCTGGTCAGTGACATAACACATGACATCACGTATGACATCACGTATGACATCACGTATGACATCACGTATGACATCACATGACCCGCACCACACACACACGACACATAATATTTTGGTAAATAAGATGTAGATAATATTACTTGAAGTGGGTAAATGCCGTCAGACTCAAGTGTGTGTGTGTGTGTGTGTGTGTGTGTGTTTCAGCAGCTGAGGTGGAAACCTGAGGACGTGAGCACGTGCACAGTCCGAGGGAAGAACAGCGTACGTTTCCTTCTCAGTCTGACGTTGTTCCTGTTTCTTTGTTTGTTCGTTAAGTCTTTGTTTGTTTCTCTGTTTTTCCAGGACGAGTGTTACAACTACATCAAAGTTCTGGTCCCGAAAGACGACGAAACGCTGCTCATCTGTGGAACCAACGCCTTTAACCCCACCTGCAGGAACTACAAGGTAAGGACACGCGCTCTCTCAGCGCCACGCAGTTGAAATCTGAGGTCACCGACGGAGTTCAGCTGTGATGACATCACTGTGATGACGTCACATTAATGATGTGTCACTCTGATGATGTCGTTGTTCTGGCGTCTTCGTTTGCCCCTCAGCTGACGTCCTTGGAGCAGGTGGGCGATGAACTCGGCGGTCAGGCGCGGTGCCCGTTTGAGTCCCATCAGTCCGTCGTTGGCTTGTTTGCAGGTGAGTCACATGTCACTTCCTGTCTCCGACACTTCCTGTGACCAAAACACCGTTGTGACCGTGTGACCGCCCCGAGCAGACGGAGACTTCTACTCTGCGACCACCACCGACTTCCTGGCCAGTGACGCTGTCGTCTACCGCAGCCTCGGCGACGAGCAGCCTGTTCTTCGCAGCGTCAAGTACGACTCCAAGTGGCTGCGAGGTGAGCATGGTCACGTGACCTTAGGGACCCCGTGATTAACCTCTGTCATCGACCTGTATTTCTGACTCCGCCCCCCTCCCAGAGCCTCATTTTCTTCACGCCATCGACTACGGAAGCTACGTGTACTTTTTCTTCAGTGAGATCGCGGTGGAGTACACGGCGCTGGGAAAGGTACCCTCCCCCATGATGTCACCTGTGTGATCTCAATAAACCCCTCCCACTTATCAGTTGACTCCGCCTCCTCCCTCAGGTGGTCTTCTCTCGAGTCGCGAGGGTCTGTAAGAATGACAACGGGGGGTCACCGCGCGTTCTGGAGAGACACTGGACGTCCTTCCTCAAGGTGACTGGACCCAAGTCCAAGAACCAGAACCTGATTCTGGACTCCAGACCTGAGGGGCCTCAGGTTGTCAATCAAAGAAGGTCCTGCAGGAGGAGGCCAACCGTCATTTCATTAAAGGTCCGTGTGTGTGTGTGTGTGTGTGTGTGTGTGTGTGTGTGTGTGTTCAGGCTCGTCTGAACTGCTCACTTCCTGGAGACTCCTTCTTCTACTTCGACGTCCTACAGTCCGTCACCAGTGTTCTGCAGATCAACGGGAGGCCGGCAGTAGTCGGAGTTTTTACTACGCAGGACAACAGGTAACAGTCAGCTGATCATTAGCATTAGCGGTTGAACGTTAGCCGTAGCTGACGGTGTTTCCCACAGCATCCTGGGCTCGGCCGTCTGTTCCTTCTACATGGACGACATCGAGAACGTCTTCAGTGGCAAATTTAAAGAACAGCGAGTGAGCGACTCGTCCTGGACGCCGGTGTCTGACGACCAGGTTCCTCGGCCGAGGTGAGAGCGCCACCTACAGACCGGGTCGTTAGCAGAGACTAGAGCGTTTTACTGATTGAGGATTTTTGGACTGGTTTGATTTTCCAGACCTGGTTCCTGTGCCGGGGACACCGGCGCCGTGAACTACAAGTCATCCATCCAGTTTCCCGACGAGACGCTAACATTCATCAAGTCGTACACTTTGATGGACGAAGCTGTCCCAGCCGTCAACGAACGGCCATGTTTCACCAGGACGTCCAGCAGGTAACCGGAAAGGGGCGGAGCCAAAGAGAGTCTCCTGTCACCTGACTTCAGTCACAGAGACGCTCGTTACTGTCCCCCAGGTCAAAGGTGACGCAGATCGCGGTGGACGTCTCTGCCGGCCCCTTCAAAGACCGTACAGTTCTTTTCCTGGGCTCGGAGGACGGACGAGTCCTGAAGGCTGTGGTCAACACGGACTTCAACCAGACCCTAGGAACCAGACTGCTGGAGGACATCGATGTTTACAGCCCGTCCAGGTACGACAGGACAGACAGGATGCTAACGTCAGCGTCGTTATTTATTGTTATCGATGATAAAAACAGACAACAGGACGTGAGCTTCCTCTGCTGCTACATGTCCACTTCCTGTTGACAGGTGTAACGTCCAGGGTCAGGAGGACAGGAGAGTCTTGGCGCTGGAGCTGGATAAAGACCATCACACTTTGTATGTGGCCTTCAGCAGCTGCGTCATCAGGATTCCACTCAGCCGCTGCTCACAACATGGCCGCTGTAGAGAGTAAGAGTGTCGACTTCCTTTCTCCGCCAAAATAAAATAAAAGCTCTTTTTAATCAGTGGTTTTTAATCAATTAAGTCCTCTGCTGCCTCCTGTGGTCAGTTGGTGTCACTGGTGATGGAGTCTCCCTGAGGTTTGTTGTGTGAAAGTAAGTTATTCCCTCTGTCCTCAGAGCCTGTCTGTCCTCCCGTGACCCATACTGTATCTGGTTGCGGAGCGGGAACTGTGTCAACGTGGCGCCAGGACTTAAGTACGTGACTATAGCTCATAAAAGGTGTAGAAAAGGGGAGGAGCCTCATGTCCTCTAAGATGTCATGGAGGACGTCTGATTGGTTGTTCTTTGTTTCAGGGCGGGGTTTGAACAGGACGTTGAGGGCGAGCAGGCATTCGACTCCGACAGCTGTCATGGTGAGGAGCTCCGTTACCATGGCAACACCTCTGTCATGTAAACACAGCCCGTGAGGCTGACGGAGCTGACGATTTCTTCTTTGTTTTTTAAACAGCTGACATATTAGCAACAACACAGAACCACGAGTTTGACCCCGGATATGGTGAGACAGCTCCACCTTTGGGCTAGCACTGAGATAACACCCGGTTAATGCTACACCAACACTGAGCTAACACTTAGCTTACTTTGTGACAAATCTTGTTCCCTCGTTTCATGTCTTCAGACTTGGAGCACGGCGCTAACGTTCACTACACGTTACTGCTAGCCTGCGTGCTAGTGGCATTCTTCCTGGGCGCCGTCCTGTCAGGTTTCCTGGTGTCGTGTTATTGGAGCCACAGCAGCGCCGAGCAGAGGAGCACGCTGGGTAAAGATGACGAGGTGTCGCTGCCTCACGCTCTGTCACTGCGAACGCTAGCGAAACTCAACGCTCTGCTGGAAGGAACAGATAAGGTACGTGGTGCTAAGGTGCTAACGGAAGGTTAGCACGTCTTACTGACCACCGTTGACGTTGGTATTTAACAACTCTGACTGTGCAGGAGGACAAAGTGGGCGTGTCCATGTCCCACATGTACAGCTCATTCATTCCCAATGGCCACGCCCCCTCTCCTGTCAATACACCAGCCAATCAACATGATCACCCTGCCCTCAGCCTGTCTCAGGTACGAGGCTAACGTGAAGCTAGCATAGAGTCTGGTAGTTAACTGTTGACAAGTCATTATCATCTGATTGGTTGAAGAGTTTGTTTAAGCCACGCCTCTTATGTGATTTCAGTCACTGTCTCAGTTGGACGGAGAGCGGTCCGACCTGCCCACACCGTACTTCACCCCTGAGCTGGCCGTGAAGAACACGAAGTCGCTGCAGTGCCATCAGCTGGAGGACAACCAGAACTGTAACAACATTTCAGCTTCTGGACCCGAGTCTTCGGGGTCTTCTCTGGGCTTCAGGGGCGCTGGTGGAGGCTCTCTGTACCCACTCGACACCGACAACAGTCTGGACGGGGGCGTGTCCTCCTTATCGCTCCCTATTCCTGATTTGCAAAGCAGTGAGAGGTCAGGGGGCGGAGTCATGACAACCCCCCAGGGGGGGGCTGACATGTCCGCGCTGGACGAGTGGCTCCAGCACATACAGGAAGTAAGTGCATCGGGAAACGCCGGCATCAAGATCCTGACCACCTCTTCCACCAGAGGGCAGTACCATCTTCCTCATCTACAACATCACCGTACGCGCCCCCATCGCTACAACCACAGTCACCACGCTGACTCCCACCCACCACCAAAGAGCGAGGGGACCAAAGTCCTGGACCCGCCTTGTCAGAGCGCTGCGTCCTCCTCAGGTCTGCTCCAGATTCCTGAAAAACCTGAAGAAAATGGCGGCGTGTCCGTGACACGTCGGCCCGCTCATCGCCATGCCCTCGTCAAGATCAGCGACGGTGGCGGTGGAGTGTCGCGCCACCACAGCTTTACCCAGCAGAGTGCGCCACCTGCACGATTTCTGGCCAGAATGAACAGGAACAACAGCAACTGTGCCGCTAACGCTAACGTTGCCGCTAACGCTAGTGTCTGTCTGACGCGGCAGCACAGCTACAACGAGGGTCCACACGATGCACGGGCGGCCCTGGTTCGCAGAACGTCCTCCCTCAAACCACAAATCCCGCCCAAATCGCTATTTTTGCCCAATACCTCGACGCCAGAAAAATTTAACTCAGACTCAGACTGAGGGGGGCGCTGTTTATAAAGGCCGCCACAGACTTCCTACAGTAAACAACATGAACCTGAGGAAGAATTCTGGGAAACATCCTGTTTCCCTCACGGCCTGCAGAGGGCGAAGTCGTCCACTGCTGATGTCCAGAGTCCAAGGAGACCGTCCACTCCACGGCTGATACATGGAGGTGTGGACATGGCCCCAGACTCAGAGACAGGAAGTGGACTCAGGACCACATGAACAAGCATTAAGTTCCAAAAACAGAACACGGTTCTCTAAGCCTGGACCGTGAGGACGTTCCTCCACTCCAGGGAACAGGAAGTGGAGTCATTACTGCCAGAAGAACGTCCTGACGTAACTGACCGAGAGACAGGAAGTGGACGCAGCGTGAAAGGAGGACACGTCTCCTGGGTTTGTTTTTTTTTTTTACTGTTTTGGTACAAACACAATAGAAATGTTTACACAGTTTTTTCTAAAGGTGTGCTCAATCACTGGTTCCCCTCGATCTGAAGAACCATGTAGGTTCACTGATGTTCCTGCAGGTGGAGCTGGTTGAGGGTTATTTATTGACGGTGTTTACATGTTGTGTGAAAATAAAATATGAAAATAAACGACGTGTCAGTTGTTCCGTCAAGACGTGCGTCTGTCAGCGACGTTCAACACAAACCGGATTTTCTGCACCTTCATTTTAACATACGCTTTATTTTTAGGTCGGCCATGTTGTACGTTAGCATAGCTGCTATCTATGCTAGGTCAGTATCGTACACGAGGTCTCTGATGTTTGTCAATCCCACAAGGACACAGTTTATATTTAGATCAAACTCGATCATCAACAAACCTGTGTCTTCATTCAAATCTGGTTCCAGTCCAGAATGTTCTAGTTCGGATCGTTAGTGCTCTGTGTACTTCCTCAGTACAGTGTGTACCATCTGACCTACTTCAAATACACACATCATTAGACCAAAGCGGGAGGGTGTGGGGGTGTGTGGGGGTGATGACCTGACCTGGCCCCTCCCTCAGTCTCCTCAGCTCTGGCTCGTCCTCTGTCCGGCGTGTGTGCGGACGTGTCTTTTGTAGTTGGAGTTGTCGCTGAAGCTCCGCCCACACTGTCCGCAGGTGTAGGGTTTCTCCCCGGTGTGGACCCGCCGGTGTTTCTGGTAGCCGTCCAGTCGCGTCAGCTTCTTGCCGCAGATGTCGCAGGTGTACGATTTTTCGGAGTTGCCGTGGCTTTTGCGATGCACCTGCACGTGTTTGGCCCAGTGAGCGCGGTGAGCAAAGACGCGTCCACAAATGGTACAGACGTACGAGTCCAGGACCTCGGACGGCGGCGCGCCCAGCCGCCTGCGTTTGGTTGGCTCGTCTGAGTCACGGTAGGAAGGCGGGGCCGAGGTCCCCGGCTGTGGGCGGAGCTCTGACGTAGTCAGGTGATCGTCTCTGTTCGTGATGCTGTGGAACAAACTGGGCTGGTGCTCCGGGATTGGAGGAATGTCCTGCTGCTCCGCCCCCAGGATCCTGTGCTGCTGCTCCTCCTCCTCCTCCTCTTCCTCCTCTTCCTCCTCTTCTTCTTCTTTGATTTGAAAAAACTCCGTCTCTTCTTCCAGAGCTGCGTCCACGTCGACGCTGAGGTCAGCGCTGCTGCAGGAGTTGAACTCCTGCTCCGAGACCCCTGGACACAAACAGGAAGTGGTCAAAGTTCAGTCTCATTCATGTTCACGTCTGGACAAGGTCAAAGGTCATCTCCAGGAAAGGATGATCTCACAGTTTTTCATTGGTCACTGAACAACTGAATAAAATGAACTGTATAAAGAAGTACTGTCAGAATACACGTCTACTGTAAATATCAGGTATTTGGTGTTTACTGTCTTCACAGTGTCCTCCTCTGACCATGACAAATACCAGCTGCGGTGGGGGGGCTAAAGAGGAGGGGG